AGGCCACACCAATCAATACAATAAACACAGTATTACACAAAAACATCACAAAACCAAAAAATAAAATACATAAAATGCAAAAGCCAATATAATAGACAACGCAGCAATATAAAATCAAGCATCAAAACACAGAAAAAATTCACTGGGCAGGGCAAATTCAAGAATAAAAAATTAAAAGTTTTAAAAACACTGGGAGATAGAGCAGTGTAAAATTGTCGTGAAGGGGGATCTGGGGATGAGGAAGGATTTGATTGCATGAACCATAAGATAAAGTGGAATGATCATATTTCATCAGTTCTAAGATAATAATAGTAATAATAATTATTATAATTTATTTATATTCCACCCTATCTCCCCGGAGGGACTCAGGGCGGATTCCAAACATAAAAGGAAAACATTCAATGCCCAACAACAACGATACATCCATACTAACAAAATTTGGCAAGCCAACATATAAAAACAAATTATGACTTAATAACTAAAATTAAATTTTAAAAACGCAACCTGTTATATCAGGCATAAGACAAAACATCAAACATCGAATAGAAGCATCAATTTCCCAGTTCCTTGGGGACAAATAGATTTATCATTGCTCAAGATATCTATAGAGCTAGTGGGGCGAACAGGATACAGATGGCAGCTATTAATCAGGGGTACTCTTCCTCCTCTTCATAAGCCAGTGAGCAAAGGTATGTCTTCTACTGTTTCTTAAAAATGGGGAGGGAGGGGGCCATATTTAACTCCTTAGGAAGGGAGTTTCAGAGGTAGAGGGWGGCCATGAAGAAGGCCCTTTCTCTTGTTCATGCCAGCTGTGCTTGGGACRGGAGTGGGACTGAGAKGAGGGCTTCCTCCGATGACCACAGTGTCCAAGTTGATCTATAGTAGGAGATATGGTTAGTCAAATAGTCTTCCATTGATTGGGAAATGCATAATAATTTCAGTACCACAAATTGGGGGGGGGGGGGTTGTGGTAAATAGATAGACCATCTGCAGTTCTAAGATGCACCCCATTTTTAGATGTGTTTATATGGGGGGGGGGGTGGTCATCTTCAAATTATTTATTTGTTTGATTTGATTTATGCACTGCTTTTCTCAATCCCTGGAGGGCTCAAAGCGATTCACAACAAAGTATATAGCAAAATGCAATTCCTCACTAAATAGTAAATACAACACATAACTAAAATAGCATATAACAATAGATTAAAATCAGTAAACTATAAAACTTCAGACGCTGACAAACATAAAACATAGAATTGAAGAAGCGCAGTATCTGAAAACCATCTCCACTATCTGCAGAGAACCGGACAAGTTCCTAAATATAATGCAACATACCACCTTCATCTGCGAGTTACTTCTATTGCTGATTTCAGAGTGGTTTATACTTAGTTGAATCAAGGAGCAAGCAGAATCCTGTCACTTCCAATATGCTCAGACAAAAGTAAACTCTGAAACTCCCTCCAAAAATAATTAAAAATTACATCATGCAGTATAAAAAAGAAGAAGGGTGGAGAGAGGAAATATAACAACATCTTTCAGATTAATATTAACCATAACTTATATATTTCTTCCATATAGTCAGACATAAATAAAAGGAATTGGATTTTATGGAAGGGATAGAATTCCAGAACATAAGAGTATGCAAAGTGCCTCTCCCTGTTTCCAAACAGGTCTATTTCTGGGTCTTCTTGGGACATATAGGAGGCCTCTGATTATTTTATACAGGATTATAGAAGGGAAAGCAGTCCTTCAGATACCCTAATCCTGAGCCATAAAGGGCTTTAAAGGTCATTACCAGCACTTTGAACTGAGACTGGGAACAAACTGAAAGCCAGTGCAGTTGTTCCAATAAGGAGGTAACACATTCCATAAAAGGCAGGTCCTGTTAATAGCCATTTCCCCATTCCAAACGTCACCCGGGTCTACAACAGGATTACCAGCCTGAGTGATAGGAAAATCCTTAAGAGCTGTCGGAAAGCCACAACTAGACATCCATTTTAAAAGACTGTTAGGCACAAATCAGCCATTAAAAAAACCTTGACATCTCATACATATATACAGTACATTAAAATTAAGATAGTAACTCCCCTCCCGTATGAAATATTAGGGTGCCATTAAGACAAAGTTAATCTATCCATGCCAATGGGACTGTATTAATTTGTTTCATTCCCAAAGTGCCACCTTCTTACACCAGCTCCAAAAAACATGCCCTCCTGAATGTGAGAGATTAGAAATGTAAAGAGATAAAAGTCTATGGAAAGACTACAGTAGATTCAAATGAAGGGAGAGCAAGAATGTAATGCTCTATGTCAGCATATAAGTATTAGATTTAGCAACATTATACCCAATAGTTACTATTTTGCATTAGAGTGACCACTTCTTTGTTTGCTTGCTTATCACACCCATTCTGTTCTTGCACTGCTCTAACCTGCAAACAATTTTCTTCTCTGGGTTGTTGTAGGTTTTTTCGGGCTATATGGCCATGTTCTAGAGGCATTCTCTCCTGACATTTTGCCTGCATCTATGGCAAGCATCCTCAGAGGTTGTGAGGTCACCTCACAACCTCGGAGGATGTTGGCCATAGATGCAGGTGAAACTTCAGAAGTTTATGCCTCTAGAACAGTGGTTCTCAACCTGGCGTCCCCAGATGTTTTTGGCCTACAACTCCCAGAAATCCCAGCCAGTTTACCAGCTGTTAGGATTTCTGGGAGTTGAAGGCCAAAAACATCTGGGGACCCCAGGTTGAGAACCACTGCTCTAGAACATGGTCATATAGCCCAAAAAAACCTGCAACAACCATTGATTCCAGCCATGAAAGCCTTCAATAATACAATTTTATTTTCTTTCTTAACTCCATATGACTATGTGTTTGACTATGCACAAGTAATTGGCAATTAAAATTTCATTTTCATGTAAATAAGACTGTGGACCTTTTCACACGGCCAGCGAAAGGGAAGGCGTTCAGGGTGGCTTCATCCTTGCCATGCATAAAAGCGTCAAAACGGGCAAAAATGTGAAGAGGTCTCATGTGAATAGGCCCTATGTTTGTTTCTTTTCTGCTAGATCCATAGTAGAGTGAGCATAGGACAGGATGTTGTTCAATTTGTCTTACCAATTTGATTACTCTGCTTACAGAAATCTACTACTGACTCTCAACTTTTGCAACACACTTGTCACTAAACTTGAGTGCATGCCCGCTTGGTTGTTGTTTTGTAGAGTCACATGTTGTGACACTTGGAAACACACAGAAGTAGAAATGAAAAGATTGAGGAATCCAACAACATAAAAAATAAGCTTACTATAAATGAAGAATTTTGCCCTCTGCCTGTCTTAAGATTTTCTCCTATATTTCTAATAGGTTTTGGACTACCATTATATCAAAGCTTCCTATACACTTTGATTTTTTTCTGCCTAATATTTGTAATATGTACAGTAGTGTATCATTTATAGTAGCTATAGCTATGATGAGCTAGCACTATGTACAGGGTTCAACATAAGAAAATGAACATTTGCAGTTACATATGTGGACTGAAGCTGAAATCAAGCCACTTCAACTTAAACAAAACCAAACATTTCTTAGGGTGTTCTTATACTATAGAACAGTGATTCTCAACCCCAGATGTTTCAGCCTTCAACTCCCAGAATGCATAACAGCTTGTAAATTGGCTGGGATTTCTGGGAGTTGTAGGCCAAAACACACGGGGACCCACAGGTTGAGAACCACTGCCATAGAATGAATGCAGTCTGACATCCCTTTAAGTGCTGTGGCTCAATACTATAGACTCCCTGGGTTTGGAGTTTGTTGGGACGCCACCTCTCTTTGGCAGAGAAGACTAAAGATCTTGTAAAACTACATTTCCTATGATTCCATAGCATCAAGCCATTGCAGTTAAAGTGGTGTCAAAGTGCATTAATTCTACAGTGTAGGTGTACCCCTAATGCCAAGAGAATGAAAGAAATGAAAGAAGGTGATGATCATTCCAAACAATTGTAGCCTATTTAAAGATTCAAATGCTAACCAGAGCTTGGGAAACTTTTTTTCCTATTTTTCTTTCTTTTTCTTTTTCTTTTCAACTTTAACTCTCAGAATCCTTGATTTGGTCATTGCCACTGCTTGATAATGATGCAATATGTGCACCGAGTAAGTGATAATCCCAAAGAGTGATTTTAAGTCCAGCTTGTAGGTGGTTGTGGCCTTGCTCCTGGGTCACTAGGTTAATGAGTCTTAGCTTAAGTAATGTGACACAAAATGTGGAGAAGGTAATTATGACCAATTGAAAGGCCTCAACCAAAGAGCCAATAGACATCTTTAGTGAATTTTTTTGCAAGCGTTGATCAGAAATTATTTTTACATATTTCAGTGGAGTGGTGATTACAGCAGAAAGTTCAAGAAAAAAATCCAGTGAAGAAGACAGTTGTCAGAGATCGTGTTGTTTTCATACTCAAGAATGTGATACCATTTCTAATTCGTCATTCAGTGGCAGTGACTGCCAACTAGCTTATCAATTTTCAGGGTCAAGAATAACATGGCGCCTTCATGCCACTGGGGAAACTCCTTTTGGCACACGTAAATGTCATTTATTACTATGGAGTTGTTTTCAATAGAGTAAATATAGTAAACAACAGTGTCATTTTGCTCCTTAACTTTCCCTTGCAGAACTCTACTCAGTCTTCGGTGTTAGATATCTAATGGATACAACACAGAGCAAGTTGTAAGACACACTGAATCATAACACTTATTCTTTTAATCCCATGTTTAATAAATGACTTCTCCATTCTGAACTGCCTGTAGCAACACTACAAGAGCATGCTGAAATACTATAGCATCATTTAATTTCAACACACAGTTATTCAACTCATTAAATTTCAAGGTCATTGACTTGAGGAAGTATCAAAATAGCAACTGGATGGAACTTCTTTGCTATGCAGCAGCTACTTTCCCCCCTTGCTCTCAGTGCTTCCAAGATTTAACCCAATTATCCCAAGGTAAAACCACACCGTACCTTCATTTTCTCCTTCCACACAGTGTCTCTTGTTGAAGCTTCTCCCTTATGTTTTCCTAAGTCCATTCCCAAAGCAGGAAAAGATTCAGATCCCATCAAGTCGTGACTTCCCAGGCACCATGACTGCACATACTCAGGTTGTGAGACTGAACTGTATCAGGCTGTCCAGATGATAATTTCTTGTTAGCTGAGTTTCCATTTATAGACTGAGAAAATTCACAAATAGAACCCTGGCAGGGCGGCAGGCAACTGGCTTCAGATAACAATAAATGCCATGTTGGCATCCAATGAGTCGGACTTTATCGTCATGCCATGCTAATTATTTGAAATTAAGGAAGGGGGAAAATCTACCAGTTTCTTTTTCTTCCATATGCAATTTTATTTTTTATCTCAATTTTTTTTCCAGAGCAGTAGGAAGAAACTGAGGGATTTTTGTAAATCAGACAAGTTTGTTAAACAAAGTTCTAATGAGGTCTGATCTGGCTGCATTCAATAGATATGGCAATCAGATCCCAACATGGTAAGGATCATGTTGCAACCCAAGAGGTGGTAATGATAAGGTCCAGGCTAGATAAATCTGTCTGTTTGAGACCAACTGAGACATTACTGCATAAGCTTTGCTTTCAACCTTTCAGGGTATTTAGCTTCACAACTCCAAGCATCAGTTTAACAACGACAATGAACAAAAACAACAATGTATAATTTATTTATTTATTTCAATTACTTCTACCCCGCCCTTCTCACCCCCGAGGGGGGACTCAGGGCGGCTTACAAGCGAAGGCACAATTCGATGCCTATATCACATTATACAAAACATACAAAACAATTTAAGCAAATTAACAGGTTAAAACATCAATACAATATTAAAAACATAAACAATCTCATGCTCAGTGTCTAGAGTTCCGAGTGTCCATTCCGTTTCATCAATTCCTGCTCATCGTCGGGTTTTTTCCTTTAGCTGCCAGAATGCCCGAAGGCTTGGTCCCACATCCAGGTCTTCAGTTTTTTCCTGAATGATAAGAGGGAGGGTGCCGATCTAATCTCCCCGGGGAGTGAGTTCCACAGGTGAGGGGCCACCACTGAGAAGGCCCTGCTCCTCGTCCCCGCCACCTCACTTGTGAGAGTGGCGGGGTCGAGAGCAGGGCCTCCCCAGAAGATCTTAAACTTCGAGGTGGGAGTAGAGGGAGATCCGTTCGGACAGATACACTGGGCCGGAACCGTATAGGGTTTTGTAGGTCAAAACCAGCACTTTGAATTGTGCTCGGAATTGGATCGGCAGCCAGTGGAGCTGACGCAACAGGGGGGTGGTATGCTCCCTGTACGCCGCTCCGGTGAGCAATCTGGCTGCTTCTCGCTGGACTAGTTGAAGTTTCCGAGCAGTCTTCAAAGGCAACCCCACGTAGAGTGCGTTGCAGTAATCCAACCGGGATGTGACAAGAGCGTGGACCACCGTGGCCAGATCCGACTTCCCAAGGTACGGGCGCAGCTGGCGCACAAGTTTTAATTGTGCGAAAGCTCTCCCGGCCACCGCTGAGACCTGGGGTTCCAGGCTTAGCGATGAGTCCAGGATCACTCCCAAGCTGCGAACCTGCGTCTTCAGGGGGAGTGTAACCCCGTCTAACACAGGCTGTAACCCTATACCCTGTTCGGCCTTGCGACTGACCAGTAGGACCTCTGTCTTGTCTGGATTCAATTTCAATTTGTTAGCTCTCATCCAGTCCGATACAGCGGCTAAACACCGGTTCAAGGTCTGGACAGCCTCCTTGGTGACAGGTGGAAAGGAGTGACAGATTTGGACATCATCTGCATAGAGATAACATCTTAGTCCGAAACTCCGAATGATCTCTCCCAGCGGCTTCATGTAGATGTTAAATAACATCGGGGACAGAATTGAACCCTGTGGGACTCCACACAACAACGGTTGCGGAGCCGAACAGGTGTCACCCAAAGACACCTTCTGGGTCCGTCCCTCAAGGAAGGATCGAAGCCACCGCAGAGCAGTGCCTCCGAGCCCCATGTCCATGAGGCGCCCCAGAAGGATACCATGATCGACGGTATCGAAGGCCGCTGAGAGGTCCAGCAGAACTAACAGGGACACACTCCCCCTGTCTAGTTCCCTGCGTAGATCATCTACCAAGGCGACCAAGGCTGTCTCAGTTCCATGTCCCGGCCTGAAGCCAGACTGTGCCGGGTCTAGATAATCAGTGTCTACCAGAAACCCCTGGAGTTGTGTTGCCACCACACGTTCCATGACTTTGCCCAAATAGGGGAGATTGGAAACTGGCCGATAGTTGTCGAATTGAGTGGGATCCAGTGATGGTTTCTTCAACAGCGGTTTTATAATAGCTTGTTTTAAGCTCGCTGGAAATTTTCCTTCCTGTAAGGAGGCATTAACCATCACCTTCACCCACTCTGCCAAACCCCCTCTGGCTTCCTTGACCAGCCAGGATGGGCAGGGGTCTAGGATGCATGTGGTGGGTCGCACCTCTCCAAGGATCCTGTCCACATCCTCAAGCTGAACCAATTGAAACGAATCCAACAAAACTGGACAAGCAGATGCTCTCGTTACATCCCCAGAGACTGCCGTTAATGTGACGTCAAAACCTGACCGAATCCGCTCAATTTTATCCGCGAAGGATCGAGCAAATGCTTCACAGCGAGCCACCGAGTTATCCGAGGCCTCGCTTTTTGGCGGATTTAACAGGCCTCTGACAACTCGGAAAAGCTCCGCTGGACGATTCTTCGCGGATGCAATATTGGCTGTGATGAATGTTTTCTGAGCCGCCGCTATTGCCACACCGTAGGACCTTAGGAAGGCATTCAGATGTGTTTGGGCTGGATTGGTGGGATTCAGGCGCCACACGCACTCTAACCTCCTCTTCTTTCGCTTCATTGCTGCCAGCTCCTCAGTAAACCAAGAGGCTGGTTTAGCTCGGTTACTCGAGAGGGGGCGTTCCGGAGCGATAGTGTCGATTGCCCTGGTCAGCTCACTATTCCAGCCAGAGACCAGAGCGTCGACAGTGTCGCTAGCCAAGGAGGTGGAAAAATCCCCAAGGGCCGTCAGGAAACCATTTGGATCCATAAGTCTCCTGGGGCGGACCATTCTAATGGGTCCCCCACCCCTGCGAAGGTTGGAAGGCACAGTTAGTCTAAAACTGATCAGGTGGTGATCGGTCCATGGCAAAGGAGCGATGGTCGGCTCCTCCATCCCGTCACCCTCATCCCATCCCTGGGTGAAGACCAAATCTAAGGTGTGTCCGGCACTATGGGTGGGACCAGATATTAGCTGGGACAGGCCTATGGTTGCCATGGCGGCCATGAAGTCCTGAGCCGCGCCAGAAAGAGGGGCCTCGGCATGGATATTGAAATCTCCCAAGACCAAAAGCCGTTGGGAGTTCAACGCCATGTCCGAGACCACTCCTGCTAGCTCAGGTAAGGAGACTGTAGTGCAGCGGGGTGGTCGGTACACTAACAGAATCCCTATCCTGTCCCGGTCACCTATCCTAAAGCCGGCACACTCAAAGGAAGATGATTGTGGGATGGGACGCCTGATCAGTGGAATAAAGTCCTTATAGACTACTGCGACTCCGCCTCCCCGCCCTCCAAGCCTTGGTTGGTGCTGAACAGAATAGCCTGGTGGACAGAGTTGGGAGAGATTAACCCCTCCCCCCTCGTCCAGCCAGGTTTCTGTTATACAAGCCAGGTCGGCTCGTTCTTCTTGGATTAGATCTTGGATGATGGAAGTTTTTCCGTTTACCGACCTGGCATTGAACAGCACCACCTTTAGCCTGGAGGGGCCACCGTCCTGGCACCTCAGTTGTATCTTGTCAGGAGAGAGTTTTGGAATCGCCAATCTATTTTTGTTGATTTCGGGCCGGATAGTAGCATTGATTTTTGGAATTGCCAATGTTCTGCTGCAAATTTTGGGCCGAATTTGATTTTGTCTATGATGCTTACCATTTTTGGCGGTTGTCAATCTGTTGTTGTAAATTTTGAGCCAAGATGAATGTTTTATTCTCCCTTTCCCGTATCTCCCTCTACCTGTCACCACCTCTATGGCGGCCCCCCCACCCGCAGACCCCCCCCCCCCGGGGAAGTTGCCTCCATTTCCAGCACTTGTTATCTCAATAACAGACGTTTGGTTATAGTTGTGGTTACCTGTCTCTGGATCCCAATGTTCCCGCCCCTTGAAACTACCTATTCCTTCCAGTGTGGTAAAGGCTGTAAAGTGCACTTGTAGTGGAGTTGTTATAAAGTGCACTTATGCTGGAGATTGAAAGGAGAAACACATACTCAAAATCATTTCGCAGTGGTTTAAACTGAAACAATGAGGTTTTGGCATAACATATATATTAAATTATGAATTTTCGTCACAGTTATACATATTACAAAAGTTTCTCCTGTTGCCCACTTTGTAAAATTTTCTGTTGTTTCTATAGGCATATGAATGCAATGGACAAAGACTTTTAGTTACTTTGTTTGCCTACTTGTAAGGCTAATAATGACAAGGAAAATAATACTATTCTTTCCACATGATGGAACATCAAAGATACAGAATCAGAGAGAGACAATTAAAACAACATTATAAATATGTATAAAAGCTCCAACTCCCCACCAGCCATTCCAGGAATCTCACACACAACTCGCAGCTTAATCCAGTGATATTTTACAATTCATTTAGGTGCTGTTGCAATCAGGTAAGTATATTGTTCAACTTTCTTCAATTTGTGCCAATTTTCTGTAGTAATCTGCTGATTACAAGATCAAGGCAGGATGTCATCAGTCCTTTGAAGTGGGCATGTTAATTGGTGGGAAACTACGCAAAAATAATTAAAACTGGAATGGTGAACACAGGACCAAAATCCACTCTCAAAATGTTCGTCTTTGATTATTCAGTCAGATATACAAATGAGCTAGTCTTATGCAGAGAAATGTATTGCCCAATTAAAATTGTAAGTTATTCATTGCTCTTGCACATTACTGCAGAGGCAATGAAAACAAATCAGAGCAACATAGGAAAACAGAAGTCATTTCCCCATATATTACATTGATGGTTTTAAAGAAAAGTTTATCATTAGCAGAATTGTTTTAGGTGTAATTTAACAGATCAAGCCACCTGTTATTGTTTATAGTGCAGTGGAACCTCTACTTAAGAGCATCCCAACTTGAGCTGAGAGCTGTTGCTCGGCCTGAGTTTTTCTTTGACATAAGATCGGCATTTTAAGAGATACAGCCAAAGACAGTGTTAGAGCAAGAGTACGGGGCTTTCAGGCTTCAGGGGAGCAGCCTCAGTGCCTCATGCCTCCGTTCCTCATGCTCTTGTCTGCTTTGGGAGATTGCTGTCTGCTTTGCTCTTGTCCACTTTGAGAAACATTGGATTAGTTGATTTTGTGTGGGTTTTATTCCTGGTATGTTTGACTCCATGAAGAGAGGGATGGAGGGAGAGCAAGAGAGGGAGGCTGGAATGAGTAGTACAGTACGAAGAAAACAATGCTTCTGTCTCTTCACTTTGTGCTTTGTGCTTCCTTGCCACAATGTTGTGCTTCTGCCATTGATCTTTATTTATTGTTCCATGTGAATGTGTATGTATACATTATTTGTTATTAATAAAGTAAATTTTCTTATTTAAAACCATGTAACAAAAATGGGGGCAGTGGAATGGAATAACAGCATTTAAATAGCTTTGAGAAAAGAGTGCTTAGAGTTAAGAGCTTGGTCACATAGCGAATTAAACTCTTAAGTCAAGGTAGCACTGTATTTCTTTAAAATAAAATAAAAAGCATTACAATTGCTTCTCACAGAGATGAAAACAGTAATTAAAGACACCAAGGCAATGAAAACTACTTTTGTAGTAACTGACTCATAGGATACTACAGGAAACCACCAATGCAAAAGGCAAAATCTGGAGCCACTTTAAAAAGAAAGGAGAAAAAAGGAAATGGCTAACTAAACAGTGGGAGAATCTAAACACATATGAACATTTTCTTTGTGGAGACAAACATCAGAGATTTAAGGGGAATATTGTGCTATTTTTAGGCCCACTTGGAGCCACAATTTTAATTCTGCTGTCATCTGATGGATGCATGACAGTACTAAAGCACTGATAACAGGCTTTAGTGTGATAGTGATCTAAGCCTAATGCCAGCCAACTGAACAGATCTGCCTCTGGTCCCTTTGACTCCATTCCTATTGCCTCCCACCCCGTGTGTGTGTGTGTGTGTGTGTGTGTATGATTGTTCATTGAACTTCTACGATGTTGTTGCCGTACTGTAGGGTTCTATGGAATAAATGTTGGGAATGGCTGTTCTAGATATTTTGTAAAACTCTCAGAGGCCTCCACTAGTATGAATGATGGCAATAGATTCCAGGAACTGACATTCAAAACAACTCAAGAACCAAAAGCTGAGAGTCACTACAAAAGATTAATAGATGATAAATAGACACACCCTGTAAATACGGTGCACATATATACACACACACACACTTGCAAATGCGGATGCATTGTCTTGATCGTTCTAGTAGAATAACCTGGCAAAAGTTCATGTCTGCTGATAAAGTCAGGCGTCCGATATTAGCAACTCAGCTGGGAGGGGACTCATTCCCTGGCTCTGAGACAGATTTCAAGGTTTACAACAACAACAAACCCATTGGTTGCTACACCAGATAGAGCTGCGATGCTCACAGTCCTTTGGGCAGCGGCTCTCAGCGGCAGGCAAGAGACACATGGCTCCAGTAACAGAACAACATGTCTATGGGTGTTTTCACACATTGCAGTAAAAAGGCCTTTGGGTTTCTCCAGCACTATTTGTGTATCTTCATAAATATCATGAACATGATAATGAAAGTGAATAGATGTCTGTTAAACAACATACACACATTCTAGACTCAACTAGACACAAATACTTTAAAAATTCAAAAACAATAAGAGCAGGCCAAGTGTTTTGCTAGGCTACCATGAAATAGGAACTTCTGTGGGGTGTCCAAAACAGGAAATCTTTAGTAAAGCAGCACTGCAATAATTTACTATTTCTACAAGTTTACTCACTATTTTTTTTCCATATCAGGAGTGACTTGAGAAACTGCAAGTTGCTTCTGGTGTGAGAGAATTGGCCTTCTGCAAGGACATTGCCCAGGGGACGCCCAGATGTTTTGAAGTTTTACCATCCTTGTGGGAGGCTTCTCTCATGTCCTGCATGGGGAGCTGGAGCTGACAGAGGGAGCTCATCCATGCTCCCCCTGGATTCGAACCTCCGACCTGTCAATCTTCATTCCTGCCAGCACAAGGGTTTAACCCATTGCGCCACTGGGGGCTCCTCCTCACTAATAGAATTTAGACAGAAATAAACCTCTTTTTTCCCTGAGTTACTTTCACACTGAATTTAGAGACCGTCAGGCATTGACATTAGTTGGAATCCTATACTACCTTTAACATAATGTAACTTTGCATAAATTTAGTTAAAAAGCAGAGGCTCTAAAGAAGTTACTGAACTGTGAAGATCTGAAAAAAAACACAGGCAAGAGTGCCCAATGTCCATTGGTGCTCAGTGCTCACCAAGGCGACGTGTAGCAAAACCAAAGCATTGCACATTGGTTGCACAGTGCCCCAGTCACATTGTATGCTAATTAATAATGTAATGAACCCCTCTATTGGATACAGATGTTTTGCAATTTCTCAATTCTAATTTCCACAAACATAAATATGCTTATGCAAATGCAGCAAGAATCCAGCCATTATCTTTTACTATTGTTAATATTTGGGTTTAGTTTTCTTATCACTTGAAAATATATGTACTATCTTCACAAGATACATATATATACATGTCATGCTCTTAGAAAGGTGGTACACTTTTACTAACAGAAAAATGTCCTGAGTATGTCTCATTTATACTCATCTCTCAGTAAATATGCCTAGTTTTTCCTTCAGTTTCCCCAAAATAAATACATTTAGATTTTAAGAGTTACTAAGATTTTACAAGAAATGCGGATTTAAAGGCTGAGCTCCTGCATCAGCAGACACAGCAATGGTGAAGGATTTCCATTGCCATAAGTACTTCTTCCAATACTACTGCCCAAATACCTACCTCTTAATCCAGGCAGTATCTCAGATGAAAGGTTTCAGAGATGCTATTAATTAGGAAGGATGATGACTGCAGCGTTGTCCTAGTCATCGGCAACTGGAAGGACCCCCTGAAATCTAGCTAGGACTTTTTCTTTCAACCTGCCTTGTGATCAGGGAACATTGCCCAAAGCTTTTGTTGGCAGTGCCTCATAAATCCTTCAATTGGGCACTGCTTGGCTTAAGCGTTGGGCTTCTGGGATCACACTCAGGCATTAGTGTCCACAAACATGAATCCCAAAATTTACAGGTTTATACATTCATTTTATAATCTTGCAAATACTGAAAAGGATGCCAAGTGCATCTTATTGTCTGCACTTTACAAGGTCCCGAGATGATTTATTTATTTATTTGTTGTTTCAGAAGCTAGTTGAGGGTACAGTTAACATGTATTTAAAAACATAAACAAAGTTTAAAAATTCGGCATTATGCTAAATGTCCTTTGACTGAGATGATGAAGAACAAGTATATGCCTATGATAAGACTCAGTCAGAAATCCTCATGATGTTCAGGTTGTGCTTATGGTAATGTAATCAAGTCTCAACCAATTTGGACCTTGTTAATTTACTCAACTGGAGAAGAGAAAACAGAGATTTTGGATGTTAAGTTTCTGACTCACAACTGCTGAATAAATGGCAGGATTGTGAAAAAAAATCATGTTTTCCTCTAGTTAACAAGAAAAGATGTCTAAATGCATTTAAACACATGCCACTACACAAATTATCAATGGCCACAAGACCTTACAGATTTGGGGACTTTACTATAGAAAAAAGCATTTTCCCAAAAAACCTTGTGAAAAAAGGTAGCAAAGAAAATACCTCGCATAACAATGGAAACTGAGCGAGCAGGTTAGCAACAGAAGAAAGTTCAATTCATATCATACTTTTTTCTCACTCAGACTGCTATCAACGGCACTAATACAGATCAAATCTATTGCTATGCCGCATGTTTGGCCATGGTATTCAGAATGACTCTAAAATCCCAATGACAGAGACCAAATTCACTGTAGAACCCAATAGGTATAGGCTACACAAAACATTTCTTTTCCTTGGTTAAAAGGTCCTGAAATGTGAAATATCGTGAACAATATACAATATCTCTGCAGACTCACATAATGTGGAGGAAATATTTGAGCGCGAGCATGTAAGAAATAAAGATCTATCTATACACATAATAAAAGTGAAAGAAATGTGTATATGTGTATGTGGCAGAGGTGTCCACTATAACCCACAGTGCTGAGGAGCCACCAAAAGCACTTCCTCCAAGGACATTGCAGATTACAGCAGGCAACATGAACATACCTCCCAACCTCTGCCAGTGTCATCCTCAAACACCGTACTGCCCACCACACAAGTGAAGGCTTTCATTTGGGAACAATTTCATCCTAGATGTTCTGTTTTTCCTCCAGAAAGGACATCCCAGGGTTCCTTTCTCTCTCCATGGGTGTGGAATTTGTGTGACCCCACCCACTGCCTCTCCCTTAAGCCTTACCTACCACTTCCTATGGCACAGAGCAAACAGGAATATGCTGATTTGGGGGTGAATGGTTTGGGGGTGAATGACCTTGGACTCAAGAATTGTAGTTCACCCTTATCCAGAGAGCACTGAACCCAGCCAACAATAGATCTGGACCAAACTTGGCACACAGACCCAACATAGACATCTGTGCAAATGGGCGAGGTTTGGAGGTGATTATCCTTGGCATTTGGGAGTTGTCATTCACCCACATCAAGAGAGCACTGAACACAGCTGACGTCAGATCTAGACCAAACCTGGCACACTGACCCAACATGGCCAACTGTGCATGCAGGTGGGATTTCGGGACGATTGGCCTACAATTTTGGGAACTGCAGTTACCCACATCCTTATGCATTTTCTAATGGCAGTATTCATTTTAAAAAGCAACAGAAAAGACTGACTTTTTTCTAAGAAACAGAGCTACAAATTCTGACTGATATTATCTAATACCCCAAAACAAACAATGCCTTTTTCAAATAACTTGGGCATCGGCGGGTCCCCAAGCTCATTTCTAATATGTCTCTCCAGATTTTTTTGCATTGAAAGTCTAATCAGCCTCACCAACGTAGACAATAGTGAGAAATGATAGGAGTTCAGATTCAACATCAGATAGGCCACATGCTCCCCTGGCCTGAAATAACCTTCTTGCATGTTATTAATAGCATTGCATACAAAGAGCAGGTCCTCTTAGTACAGAAGTTTCCCTTAGTACATTGAAACAGCTGTACAAAGTAGGAATAAGGCAACGTCCCTTCAGGCAAATCCTCTGGAAAGTAAACTCAGCCACTCATGACAAACTTTCTGTCAATCGATTCAGCCAGTTCTGCTTCAATGTTTTATTTTAATGTATATATCACCCCCATTTCCTGGAATGGGACTTGACAAGGTGGGTTACAACATGATACAACTAAATATCTGATGATTTAAAAAAATAGCTGTCATATTAAAACATCTCACTGGCAAAAAAAGAACAGAACAGAAATAACTTTTTCCTGCCTGACTGATACTGCGTCTGCAGGCCAGTCATTTTTACTTACACTTCATATTCTAAAGATTTAATGGATTATGAAACTTTTCTTCACATTCTTGCCACATATTCAGCAATTGTGAGTCAGAACCTTATTATTCAGACTATGTGTTTTCCCTTCTCTTCCTCCCCTCTCTGCCTTGGATGCCCTTACTGCCACCAAATTCTTCCTGCTCTCACCTTGATTTTCAGCTGAAAATTAATGAAAAATTGCTCTTTCCACACTGTTAAAAGCATGAATTTCCCCAAGTGAGGTTAAAATCTACTTAAAATCCAGTTGCTGCCTCTTGCAGAATTATGGGGTTCGTAGTTTAGGGAGGAGCCTCCTAAACTACAAACCCCAGAATTCTGCAGGAGGCAGAAACCAGATTTTAAGTGGATTTTTTCTTTAGTGTGATGAAGTGGTATGAGCATGATCAGAGGTCTCTTTCCTACAACATTATGTCAGGAAGTTCAGTAATTTAAAATATGTTCCCAAACATAAGCCCAAACAGTGGTAACCCAACTGAAATGAAGTTCTGCATGGCATTCCATGTTGCACTTGGAAATGAAACACAGACTTTGTCTGCTGTTCTCAGCAACGTTCTTACCTTTCAGCTGACATGGTATCTGGGGATGAGGGGGAGCATAATCGTGCAAGGGATCACACTCCACATTCCTATGGCAACAACTGCTGCTGTCAGTCTTTGGACAATGCTGCTTGCTGCACTATAGAGGAGTGTGAGGCGAGATACGGGAAAAATAAAATAAAGAGCATGACATGCCTTACACCTAATGTTCTAGGCCAGTGGTTTCCAGCCTCTGCTCCACAGAGCCCTAAAGGCTCCCCATGCACTTTTCAGGGCCATTCCAAAAAATTAAAATAAATAAAAACTGAATGAAATAAAAAATAAGAAAAAAAAGGAGAACCAAAGTAAGAAAACTAGAAATTATATTCTGAATGGAAATTCACCAAGTTGGTGGTAGTTGACAATAAATTGAGATATTATGGTAAATTTCAAAGTTTTTAAAATACAGTTTCATTGCATGGACATTGCACAATCATTTTGATATCTCTTTACTTTACATTCCCTTACTATCTATCCCCTCTTCCTCCCCCTGTAACACTACACCTAAACACCATTAACTTCTAAGACACAGGGCAAGCCTAAGGTGTTCTGCCATAGAAATTGTGTCTAAAAGGGCTCTGCAAGTCAAAAAAGGTTGGGAACCACTGTTCTAGCATTTTGAAGGATGGGTCCCATCAACCTTTGCCCATGTCAGCTATTATTTTGGATGGATGGGGGTGCAGACTGAATTGCAAAGCTCCTAGGGAAGGACTACTGAATGTGGTAAACCAGCGCCATTGTTGGTCCACAGAGATTTCACAGGAAAGGAGTTCTCAGTTGTAGCCAATAGGAATAAATATGGTGGCAGTTACGGAAATGTTAGGAAAAAATGCCACCTACTATCCTCTTCTAAACTCAAAAGCATTGGCCCAAACAACTACTATTTCTCACCTGTACCTTTATTTATGCATGCTTCTTGAGAAGTAGAAGCACAGAAATCCATAATACTATATATATATATATATATATATATATATATATATATATATATATCACATTGTGCTTGCTAGAGAAAAGCCATTTGCTTGTGACTTTCTTTCAGTTAGAAACATGAAAAATGTCCATACAAAGCAAGATTGTCCTCGGATATGGTCCATTAAATATTATGAAAGTCTTAAGTACCTATTCACCAGTACCTCAAGGTTGTTAGGTACAGAGAAGCAGCTGTGAAGTGTTTTGTTTTTTCTTTGTTTGTATGTAGATAAATACTGCCAAGCACATTCTTTCTTCCCTCTTAGCTACCTTGAGTCACCCCAGTTGACCTGAAATACAAGCTGCCTTCCCTGGCACCCGTATTACATGGCTCTTTCCTCTCACCCTCTCCAAATCCTTTCCCTTCTCCTTCACCTTTCCATGTGACAATAAAAGAACAATAAATACCACAATACTTGTTGTTTTTCCTAAAAATAATATTTTATTAAGGAGGGTAAAAAGCATTGTTTAAACAGTCTGAATAGAGGTGTCCTTCAGTATTCTCTGTTTCCTCTGGCTCAAAATCATCCGGGTCTTGTGGTAACTGGTCAGTGTCTTCATCTGAAGTTGAAGGGCGTGTTAGGATGATGCGAGGTATCTTGGGTACAAGAGAGGGAAGAGGGCAAGAAAAAGAAGTGAAATGGGCAAGGGAAATGAGGAAGCAACATAAACATTCACTCACAAAAACCTCTCTTCTTTCTAAACCTAGGTGTCACATATTCGCTAAATCTCAAGTACTGGATACATGGATATGACACAATATTCTTAGCTATTAATATACTTTCTCAGCTGGGTAATACATTATGCATTGTTTTGCAACTGGCATGTAATAATTTTTTGACAGCTCTCTCTTTAAG